TTCCTCTTAGAAATCCCAGTTCAGAAGTCAAGTTTCTCTGCTACATTTTTGATCAGGCAGATTTTTCAACGCTCCTCAAACGCCATCAAGACGCGTCGCAGGACCCAGTGAAACTCACATGTACGCCCCCAGTGTGCGTGCCTGAGGTTAAATAGTCTTTTAGTGTGTAGTTTATAAAGTTTTGAGTACATAAACCGCACAGTTTGTCCGCAATGAGCTCCCAGATTACTTGTATCGGGTGGGTAAAACGAGGCGTTGCCAAGGAAACCCCGGATAAAGTAAGTAACATTAGCATGTTAGCCGACCGGCGGCTAATCTGTCAACATGGCAGTGCCCAAACCTTTACACGTATTGAACCTCGAGTAAATGGCATATATATTTTAAAATAATAAAGCCACTTTTAAAATTTAACTCTAGGTTGAGTTGAGCCAGGAGGAGCTCCAGCGAATCATCACTGAAGCGAAAGAAGAATTGGGGTATGTTAAAGGCTCACTGCTCCCGTGTATCCCATCGCACTGTGCCTGCTGTCATGTACTTTTTGTTTACTTCTTTGAATGCCCCCAGGGAACTGGCAGCTGAGGACGAAGAAGAAGATGCTGAGGGTGTACCCGTTGAAGAGAGTGATACTGCTGAAGTGCCACAGGATGAGAGTGAAGAAGGAAAGGAGGATGAGCTAGCAGAGTATGGCCTGGATAAATATGATGAAGAAGACGCAGGTGAGGAAGGGGCAAGGTGCTCTTTGGTTATTTGAGTAGATTTGCTGCTTCATCCCATATCTTATGGTGCTCTGCCTCTGTTTTAGTGACCGCTAATCTTGGTGACAGCCTGGCTGGACTCACAGTGTTCAGCTCTAATGAGGAGGATCCTTACATCACCATCAAAGACACAGTGAGTGGCCTCCAAAAATAAGTGCATGCATTCTGTGTTGTGCCTGAGGAGCTGCTATAAATGTTAAAACCCCTCATTTGTTTTCCAGTGCAAGAAATTTGTGCTAATTATTTTGGATAACTTCCTTCCTAGGACCAGTATGAGCGTGAGGACTTTCAAATCAAACCCACTGACAACCTGATCCTGGCAGGCAAAGCAGAGAAGGATTGCTGCAATTTGGAAATCTTTGGTAAATGCCTTCATTTACTGACCCAATGGACAGATAACAGAGGATTGTCTTCAGCAAATAGAAGGAAATTTTGTTCATTGGATACTGCTGCTGTGGCTTAAAATAAGCTAAATGTGTTACTTTGCAGTTTACAACTCAGAGGAGGACTCCCTTTATGTTCATCACGATATTCTGCTGCCAGCCTATCCACTGTGTGTGGAGTGGCTAAATTTTGACCCAAATCCTGCAGAAGGAACATGTAAGAAATCATCAATGATAAATGCAATGTAGATAAAGTCTCTTGTTTCGTTGTATAGGACCTTTTAGCAAACACTGTCTCCTGTTTGTGTGTGTGTTACCCTGCAGCTAACTATGCAGCTGTGGGCAACATGACCCCTCAGATAGACGTGTGGGATCTGGATGTGGTGGACTGTTTAGAGCCGGCCTTCTCTCTGGGGAGCAAAAAAGCCTCAAAGAAGAAAAAGAAGAGCAAAAAGGTAAAAACCTAATTAGTGGTTTTATTCTCAGCAAGAAATTGAACCCTCAGATGCCCATCAGAGCGAGAGTGTGTGAATTTCTATCGCTTTCATTAAATCCTGAATTGATTTTTAAATGTAAATGTATTTTACCAGAAATATCAGAATCTCAGGTTAAAACTCACAAAACTATTTCAACAACTGCCAAACAACTAAATAAGGAAATGAGAGCAGGTAAAAAGATGTAAACAATGTGTGCGGATCCCCTCGTTCACCTGACAGCACGTACATAGACACGACATCAGGTGAAAGCTGACGTCTTACAGATTTGAAAGCTGCAGGTTTCGTCACTCTCTGACCAAAATTTACTGAACCAGCAACAAAAGAAGATCAAAACTACGCTTCACGTTTGAAAAACATTGTCATGAATTCCCTCTTACTTTCACTGTTTTGCTTCCACCAAGATAAAAATCACACTTCCTGCACAGCCCTCTCTCTGTGTACTCAGAGACCAGTTTACCATCAAAAGTCTCCATTTTCTCCATTATTCATTTGCTCATTACGCACCAGTCTACCGTTGTGTACAGTGCTGTCGGCCGCTGTAACCTTGCTCTGCTTCACTTTAGCAGTATCAGATAATATTCATATGTTGATTTGTGGTTTTCTTCAGTTTTTGATCTACTGCAGAATATTTTTAAGCCGGTTATCTGCTATAAAAAGTCAGGACAGGAAAATCTTCTTCATGTTTTTCTGTGTTTTATCCTCAGTTACTTTGAGGCAAAGGC